GGCCACGAACCCATGTTTGGCGGGTTTGTTGGCGACAACTACCTCTCTGCCTACGTCTCCGGCAATGTATTCGCCTCACCAACCGCCGCACAGATCTTCGAGGCCATAAAGATGTGCCAGCCCAGGAACGGAAACAGCAAAGGTACCCTCGTGGTCTGCGGCAACTACACTGGCGATATCCTGAATGCCGGCCTTGCAATCACAAGGGCGCAAGCTGCTGGTTTCAAGGTCCACTTCACGCCTGTAGGTGACGACGTCGCTGTGGGGCGTAAGAAGGGTGGCAAGGTCGGCCGTAGAGGTCTAAGCGGTCACCTGGTTGCGCTGAAGAGCGCCTGCGCTCTGGCGCAGAAGGGCGAGAGCTTGGATAGGGTTGCAGAGGTCATGGAGTACGTGGCTGCCAACGTCGGCACCATTGGCGTCGCCTTTGACCGGTAGGTTCGATTTCCTCTCCATAGCTTTGTAGGATTGCCTTTTCCCTGACAACTCGGACAGCGTGGCCCTACCAAATGCACGCATCACAGATCTGCAAACCCTCCCTACAGCAACCATCGAGCTCGGCATGGGTGCCCACGGCGAACCAGGCCTCCAGCAACTCTCACCAATCCCAACTCCGGATTCACTCACCTCGCAGATGCTTGACCTCTTGTTGAATGTCGAGGACAAAGATCGGGCGTTCATCCCCTTCTCCAGATCTTCCCACCCAACCGATGACGCTGAGGTGGTGATGCTGCTCAACTCGCTCGGCAGCACATCGGACGAGACCCTCGCCCTGTTCGCCGAGCTCGCCAACGCCGAACTGGCAAAGCGAGGGTTTACCGTCAGACGGGTGACGCTTGGCCCGCTGGTGACGAGCTTGAAGATGAGCGGGTTCGGTATCACGTTGTGGAGGTTGCCCAAGGAGAGTGGAGAGGCCCTTAGCAGGAAGCAAGCTCTTGAACTGTGGGATGAGCCTGTGGATGTCGTCGCTTGGAGACAGTAGTGAGCATACTGCGAGCAAAACAGGGCGACTACATGTGAACTTCCCGGCATACTGAAGCATGTTTCCGTGGCGCTGGCATCAAGTTTGTTGCATCTTTGAGACCGAGCATAGCTGTGGGTTCAATCTGGCGCATATTCCGCCATCACCATGCACTTCCGTATCACACGGCTGAGTGTAATATACAATCACCATTCGAGGTTGTCAGTGCAAGGTTTCCATTTGATACAGTCGACTAATCGTACACTATTTGCATATACACTTGAGTCGCTCTCCAGGACTCAACAATGCCCACCGTTGTATGCTCAATCCCGAAATCTGGCTCTGCTGGCAGTGGCAGACTCCAAGAATGCCGGTAAACCTGACCCTAGAATGAGTAAAGAAAGCGCAAAATGGAACGTAGGCTTCAAAGGCGGCGTGGCCTGAGCCAAGATTCGGGGAGGGTTGTGCAAAGACAGTTGTATACAGGTGGCAGGGGCTTGGCAACTCTCGTGTCGTCCAAAGGCGCGTCTCACATTGGGCCTTGAGTCTCCAGTATCTCGCCTATCTCTTCATAGTGGGATCCCAAGCCGCTCAGTCCTCCACCGTCTTGCCAGCTTCCTCGCTATCGCCTGCCGCAGCTTCAACGGGTTCGATTGTCACAATGCTGGCGTGCTCGGGTTCCTTCTCTTGCGACTCTGCGCTCTCTTCCGCCTCGGCCTCATCCTTCGGCTCGATCTCCCGCTCTATTACCGTGATTTCTGTATTGTCGTCGTCATCGTTATCGTCGCCGGCAGGGGTCTCGGAGTCCCGGCTTGGTGGTCGCATGGTATTGCTTCTGTCTACGCCAGGTCGTGGTGCTTCGTCTTCCTCGCTCTTGGATGTAGCGGTCACATCCTTAATATGTTCACTCGACGGCTCCCCCTCCTCGTCTACGTCTTTCCACGGGCTTGCTTGCTGGTCAAGGCTTGGCTCAGAGTCCACCTCTGGTTGATCGCTTCGACTTTCGGCGGGCTCTTCCGGTTCTTCTTCCTCCTGGATCACGTTGGCGGTAGTGGTACTTAGATCGCTTCTGGTGTGACGGTGTCTCTTAGTCGTTTCCCCGCCCGCGATAACGTGATTTCCTACTGCTTCGTCCCCAGAGGGTCCTTCCTCTCTCTTCAGGATTTGGGGCGCTGGCGCTTCCTGCTTCTTCTCTAGATCAAGTCCAGCCGGTGGCTCGTAGCCTTCAGCCTCGCTGGGTATTGTATAATTCTCCTGCTGTATCATGCCGTACTCGTCACAGACTGTCTTGAAGAAGATGTACAACCCTGTCTTCGCTTCAACCCGCCAGAACATCTCTCGGTGCTGAAACCATGCATGCGCGTATATCCTGTAGACCCTGCGAAAGATGTTGGTGATTTCCTTCATCTGCTGCATCAGCACCTTATCGCTCTGCCCGCCAGGCGCTACCCCACTCCCACTCCCCATGCCGAGCCGTGAAGGGAACATCTTCGAGCTGGTCAGGCTGTTGGCTGCCCAGTCTAGCGTGTGGCAGCAGTAGTCGACCGCTGAGCAAGACTTTGGCGGATCGTGGACGGCACACAGGTACTGCCACTCGCTCGCGCGCATCTCAGGGCACGTGTTCGCGGAGCAGGGAGGGCTATCCGCAAACAGACTGACGATGATGGCGTTGGTCTTCTGGATGAGGAACCGCGCGAGCTCATACCGCCACATCTCCCTGCTCGTCCCAGGCGGCGGTCTGCTCAGCTCTTGCGCAAGCCCTGGCGTCACAGGCCGCACCGTACCATCGGGTGGGTGTGTGTACTCGTGGTGTAGCGCCTTCAGATGCTCTGCGAGCTGGAATGCGCTGTCGATGTCGCTCAGCTCGATGAGGGGTGGGCCAGCTGCCATGTCCTCAGACCTAGTGCCGGGTCGTATCCGACGGGAAGCGTTCGCATCGACATTGCCGGTATTGATGTGGTGCCCTAGCTGTTGCTGGTCTTCGAATAGGGACACTCCCGGGCTCGTAGGCAGGGTCTGATCCTCAGCGATTGGAGGTGGAGAGGGCAGGCGAGGGGACGATGAAGGAGATGGCGCCATTGTGAGCCTGGCCACCGCTTATAGTTGGAGTTTCTGTTGCACGGCAACTGCTGGTATACATGGAGGACAACTGTGTCAGATGCAAGACGCCTGGAACATATTCTGAAACTACCAGCGCGCTAAAACAATATGGCGCGCGCGCGCTTGAACTCCCACTTGCCCCGTGGCCCACGCATGTGCCCTGTCTTGCCCTTAGGCGGGCGTCGGATTTCCCCGGTATTGTCACTGTAGAATGAGTCTGGCTTGGAGTTAGGAGGAGAGAGGTCTCGTGTGTTCTCTAATTGCAGGAGTGGCGCCGGTAAGTGTAATGACATATCTGATTTGACAACCGTCATCCATACAAGATGGATGAAGATGAAGATGTGCCACCGTCGTTGGTCCTCGCAGAGGGGACAGACGCGGCAGAGGCAAAACTCAGCACTGATTTATCTGAAACCAAAACTCCAAAGGTGCCCATCACCATAATTACTGGTAGGTGTGGCAACGATATAACTCTCTTTCACATCGTAAGAACCCTACCCATCTCGATGATACAGGCTTTTGAAGCTCCTGATTTCGATTCGTTGTCTTCGCTTCTATCAATCTTACCACTTCCATAGTCTCCACTCTGTCTTTGTGTGTCTAGCATTCGCTAATTGCGTACATCTAGGCTACCTTGGTGCCGGCAAGACAACCCTTTTGAACTACATACTTACTGCCCATCACGGCAAGCGGATCGCTGTCATACTGAACGAATTCGGCAACACTTCTGACATCGAGGCCAAATCAATCACTGTCTCCCAGAACAACACGCAAGCAACGGAATGGCTGGATCTCGCAAACGGCTGCATCTGCTGCAGCGTCAAGGACCAAGGCGTCAACGCCATTGAGTCCCTCATGGATCGCGAGGGTTCCTTCGATTACATTCTCCTCGAAACCACTGGACTTGCAGACCCAGGAAACTTGGCACCCATATTCTGGGTTGACGAGGGGCTTGGCAGTACAATATACCTTGACGGTATCGTAACGTTGGTCGATGCGAAGAATTTCGAGAGAAGCTTAGATCGACCAGTTGGTAACGAGGTCGTTGATGTAGATGCAGAGGGTCCAGGACAGCACACTGGACAGCATCTTTCAACAGCCCATCTGCAAATTTCTCACGCAGACGTAGTCATTGTGAACAAAGCCGACCTGGTGACGATTCCTGATTTGGACGCTATCAAATCAAGGGTTCGAGCGATCAATGGGCTCGCCACGATCGAGGTGACGGATCACAGCCGAGTGCCAAAACTGGAAGGGGTTATTCTCGATTTGCATGCCTATGACCATGTGACAGCAGAGAATTTGGACTTTGCATCGAAGGGGCATAGTCATCTAGATACCGCTATCGGCACCATCACACTTACTGGCGCAGCCTTGACACACCGCACAGATCTTGATAGAATCGACGCCTGGCTACGATCTGTATTGTGGGAGCATTCTCTGCCAGAAGTGCTCGATTCAGTGGACAAGCTAGATAACTGGGAGATATTCCGCATGAAGGGAAGAGTGCCTTTCCGTGATGGACGAATAAAGATCTTGCAAGGCGTTAGAGAGATATTCGAGCTTGCTGACGGTATCTCAGATCAGCATGCTGAGACGACGGAAGATTTGAAAGTGGTGCTGATAGGCAGGAATCTGGCCCAGTCTGCAATTGCTGCAGCGTTCCAAAGTAGTTGGGCTTCGATATGTTCGCAAAACATCAATCAGCATAAATGAAAAACCCGTTATTGTTGGAAGGGATTGCTACCGTGCATTTACCTGGTCACGATGTGTTTATTGCGTTGAGGAAATGACCAATGATTTTAATCTAAGCGACTGGCGTTACACTCGTCTCTACAACGAGCGTACAAATCGCAACGAGTCTGCAACGCAATAATAATAATGTCCATACCCCCCCTTTTGGAACAGCAAAAAATTGTGCAACGGAGAGCCAAAAAGAATAGGGTCTCACCGGGATTTGAACCCGGGGCCTGTCACAAATGTTGGCTGTTTCGCAGCCACCAGGCAATGGAAGCCCGAAGCGACAATCATACCACTAGACCATGAGACCCGTTCAGAGCACAGGACTACGCATAACGCCACAGCCCAACGGAGCTTGCGGGAGCGGGTAGTCCCAGTACGCCAATGTTGCCAAACATCACGAAGGCAACAATGCACGTGATTTTGTTGTTTTCGATTTATATACTATCAAACATCCATGCTACCCAAGAGTCGACATGCATAATCTGGCGGAAAGCGGCATCCACAGCAGAAGGCATTTTGATGGTATTTGATGAGGGCCACTCTAAAATTTACTTTTATCGTGCAGATTCAGGGATCATGCTGGGGTTGCTAGCTGGGTATCGGGATGACTTAGGCTCATCATATGCTTCGAAGTCAATGTCTGAATGGAGCACATGCATATAGTCAAGGTGAGGAGCTGTCGTATCTTTATAATTGACAAGAGAAAATGTGGAGTGGTCGTAACACACATGTATATATACATGTGCCAGTACAGTCTGCTTGGTCGATAACCATGTGTAGACCACGCGACTTGAGACGGGCGGCTAGTATGGCATCAAAGGCACATATCAGTCCATACTGGGCCAAAACTCTCGCTCTGCCCATAAAACCTGTCTGTATGCCTGCTCGCATTCCTTCCATTCCTTGCTACCGCTAATGATGCGACCTCCTGCCTCGTCAACCAATCCTCGAATATTCTTCACGAATTGTTCAAACTCAGGACTCGACCAGTTAGGTATGAAAGTTCGCTGCATCACGTCCATATCCTTGGCCTGACGGCTCTGGTCCAAGTGAGATCGAGCATACCGCCATGCCCTCAGGTACGACTCTTCGGTCGCCCAAAGAACCACCAGCGGGACAATCGTAGGACGGCCGTGAGCTGTAGCGCCAGCGAACAAGTCCTGATATGCACGAGTCTGAACAGATGCCTCCAAATCGCTGTGAGCAATATCATCAAGCCAGCCTTCCAGCTTTGCGGTGTCTTCAAACATCTTGAGCTCGACACGGATGTTTGCCAAGCAGTCTATCAGGCAGTCGGTGATGCGCCATTCAAGCGTTTCTTGCCTGTCCGAGGATTTGGAGACAGGTATATTAGCTAGCATTGCACCGATGAAATTGACATATGCACTGGCGTAAAGACGATCTTGTGCCAACCAAGCTTTCAAGCGGTCAACTGGGAGAGAGGATGTGCTCGCTGCTTGGAGAAATGGGTGTTTGGTCGCCTCTGCAAGAGCATGTTCGTCGAGGTGTAGTAGATGATCAGTAAGTGTAATCATACTCGCGATTGCAATTCGAGATGGTAGAAAATCGATTATAGGGATCGCATATAACACGTTGTAAAATCTACAGTGACAAGTGACTTCGCTATTGACGGCAGCACAGTGCCAAACTAGCGTTTACTTTCTGCGGCCCAGCTGTATTCATTGTCGTCCTGACTGGAAATGGATGCTTGGCTTGCAAGGCTTGGCAAGTCTTACTAACTCGCCGTCGTGACTAACTTACCAACCAATATGGAGTCGATGTCATTACACAACTTATCGTCTATATTTACGGATACTGCAGATAGGCTACTGGGTCGTAACCGTTCAGTATTGCGACCATGGCTCGAAAACTTTGAGCGCGCATTCTCCGACCGCAAATATGGCTGAATACCTACTCAAGAGCGTCTCTGAGGCCGGCAGTGTCCAACAAGACGCAGATGCCTCACCAGCAAATGAGGAACTGAATCTTGACAGTGACACGCAGCGAGGAATTTCGCGAGCAAGGCGTAGTCAGGTCTCGGCGGCCTGCCAAAGCTGTCGGCAAAGAAAGATCAAGGTATGCTGTCTGCAGTCAGGACGAATTGACTCTTGGTTCTGAAGATATTGTTATTAGTGCGATGCACTTCGTCCATGCAGGCCCTGTGTAAAACGAAATCTCACTTGCCGGTATGACACCCAACATGGAGAGACACACTCGCAAGCTTTCAAACGAAAATACGAGGATGCGATCCATTCCCATGACACCTATGCAGAGGTCTTCTATATTCTTAGAAGTAGGAGTGAACAAGACGCTGCAGAAGTACTACGCTGGATTCGATCCGGTCGCAGTCCCGAAGTGGTCCTCAGATTCATGACCTCAGGCGATTTCGCCCATATCACACCGAACCCGGGCCCGTTCGTACTCGACGATTTCCTGGTCAATCTGGCGCACAGCACTGGATCAGCTCAAGATATCATCAGGCTCGCTACGATAACTTTAGATCCCTCTACAAAGGTACGACTACCGCGACCCCAGGATTTTTTCGAGCTTCGCAATCGCATAGTTCAAATACAGTTTGTGGAGAAGCTTTTACAGCGATCGTATACCCCAAGCACTGGTTTGCATCCTTTGCTACTTGGTAGCGCTCCTGCATTATCACGTGGAGACGCTCAGTCTGGTGTAGGTGTACAGAGTGATCTTCTGATCCATGACGATATGGGCAGAGACGACCATCCTCCACACCACGTGCCAGCAGCGCCTTGGACAACTATCACCGCAAGCGATGAAGCGGTATCTCATCTCGTCTCGCTTTTTCTCGCCTGGATAAATCCAACTTGGCGCTTTGTTGAGCAAGATCTATTCTTAATGGGTAAGCACTCAATAACATAATCATGCTTAGGTCTCGAGCTCGCTCTCAGCCATGGATTGACTGGATAATTACCAAACACAGGCATGCGCTCAAAACGGCTTCAGTCTCGCTTTTGTTCGCCATTATTGGTCAACAGCATTTGTGCGATAGCGAGTGTAAGTGCCCCCTACAGCTCTTATCCCAAAGAATCCGTTCTCAAACAAAGACCAGTTGCAATCCGAACATGAGGTGGCCATGGTCCCGGGAGACCGTAATAGAATCACTCGTGGACAGCATTTTCATGACGAAGCCCTCCATTTATGGGCACTTGAAGAGAATCGTCCAACACTTACGAATATTCAAGCATTATGTATCCTAGGCCTAGAGTAGGCCAATCACCAAAACCCTTACAGCTAATTTCGCTAACGCTCTCAGGTCAAATTACCGAGCGAAGGATAGACTCGGACTGACGCTCGTTTCGATCGCGGCGCAGCTCAACAACGAAATGCCTGTACACATTGATGAAGAGCAACTAACAGCCGAGGGCGTCTCAGGTCGTACTTTTGCGAGAGCAAGGCTCAATACCCATTGGATGGTTGTCTGTACACAAATGTAAGCAACCTTGCTCTTGTTCTTACTGGTTTTCTAGAAGTATGTCTGACGCCTCCAGAATAATGCGGATTGCATTTATGAGTGGCATAACAGTAAAGAATCATGTATCCGGACTTCCGAGGATCCAGGAGGTATTCGACGATAGAGTCGAAGCCTGGATAGGATACCCATTGGCGAGGAATGTCGTCTTTTATAGACCAACGTTGTACCTCCGAGAGCGCTGCAGATTCGCAGGGCTGCTACATGAGATGTACGACTTAGTGAGCGTCAATAATCAGCAACATAATGGGGCGATCCGAGCCTTTACGGGAGAAGTTGATCGTCTGTCAGCGAGAATGGAGCGTTGGTATCAATATCTGCCTTTTGAGTTGCAGTATGGATGGCCAATGAGCGTGGCTGTCTGGGAACTACAGTACGTCAACGGGATCATATGGATCACAATTCACTATGCTGAACAAACTATGTAGCGCTTCATACCTTGCTGCTCTTATGGCCCTCTGGGTGGCGGCGAGGACGCAATTACAACAGAAACAGAACTTGCCAGAGGACGAATTGCCACCAGCCGAGAGCGACGATGAGAACATAAGCTTCAAGTCACGAACAGCTCGAGATATGTTATCGAAGGCACTCCCGCTAGCATATCGGGCCACCCAAATTCTCCATGATTTCCGGAAACGATATGGCTTGAAGATCACGCCAGCATGGCTCCTGCAATTGCAAGCAGTAGCTGCAGGTGTCTTATTGCAAGATCCAGAGCTAGCCGATGCTACCACTATCGCATCATCGGGAGACGGTGAATCTGGTGGGACAATCAATGACTCTCGCACGGCATTCGATGAAGTGTTCCGCTGCCTGCTGGGAACAGGAGTCCAAGTCATGGTTGCAAGAGGTATCGCCCGCATGATGTATCACACTTCGTTGCAGAAAAATATCAAAATGTCGCAGTCGATGCGGTCTGTTTTACAGATCATGTCCGATACTGCGTGGCGCCCTTCTGATCTGTCTCTAGTGAGCTCTACATTCCCGAACTATGCGACCACTAAAGGTTACCTGGATAGCGAAAGGATGACTGAGCTACTAATGAAGTGGGAGGCGCTCGAAACTTGATTCCCTTTTCGACAACTATAGAACTGCAGCACTTGACGAACAAATCTACGTAAACGGTACCATGTCTCAAAATGCTCGGATAACTCTTGCAGCCTGAACCGTGAGATAGGGCCAAGCAAGGTTGAGGTTGAGACGTCTTGTTACATGACTCGACTGATGCCTTGCAAGAGCACATTTTCCAACAACGCCCACTGCAAATCTAAATGTCACTATCCATATTTCCATACAATTCAGAGTGCCCCACATGTACACTCTTTTAGGTACACATCTCGGATGCATCTTTTAGATTATATAACTGCAAGTATGGAGACGATATTGTAGACAGATTTGACCACACCCCATTGCCCTGCCGTGCATACTGTTGAGCCAGATTCGCTCAGTCTAACAAGCGCAGAGTTGCTAATGAGATGCTTAGGCGACTATGTATGCCCAATAGTAGGGTTGAGGAGAGTGCACTGTCTGATGTGCTTGGGACGCCTGATCAATACTGGCTATGCCTCGACCTTCAACGCCTCAACTATATTCTAGCACGCTTGATTTGAAAATAGGTGTACATTCCTTACTTGGACAGCTTCGCATCCGCTGTAAATTGTCTATAGGAAGAAAACTTAGCTAAGTTAGATAAGTTCTAGAAACATTCCATAGACTTTTCCACTATAATATTCTAGGTCAAGAAACAACTTGTGACCACTTCATGTTTTCCAATACTTGCAGTTATTCAAACCTACACAATGTTGTTT